AAGGGTGGGGCAGCCGTTGTAACTATACTTGAGACCTTAGAACTTATTTCTCCAGATAGGTGGCGGCATTTCCATTCTATGGGCTCTATGGGATGTCTATGGGCTCGGATATAATATGTACCAGTAACCACTCCAGTAACCACTTAACACGCTTGTCCACACATCTAAGCAATAAATAAATAAATAAATAACTAAAAATAAACAAAAGATAAGCATTCGAATTTGAAAATAAATACGTTCCTAGTTATGATGCTTACAGATCTCAGACCCAGTAGCGAGAATTTTTCTTGTAGATTCTTAGTTGAATCTTTTACTGTTATGGGTGTAACGGAGATTGGCGCGCTCCTTATAGGGTTGCCATGGTTAAGTTTTCGGAAAGCCCTTATACGTTGTATCATAAAAATTATTGTTAAGCCTTTTAAAAGTTGATTAAAACTGGTTATTTACAACAATAATAATACGTTTTAATTTATATTATTTTTGGTCAATAATTTAAAATTATTTTCAACTAACATCATACGTTTAATAAGCATAGTATCAAACATAATCATTAAATTTATAACTTTTACACTTTGTTTGGTATTACCATAAACCATTTTATCATTATATTGCTAACTACAATCTTACTTCTCAAGGTATTATGGTTTTGATTGGTTTTTAATCCCAATTGCCTCTTTAACACTATTCTGACCATTATAAAAACTAGTAGTCGAAATTCGACTATAACTAATTGAAATTATAAGTTTGTACACTATTATGATTCTATTTTCAAAGAATATTACACTTCTATAATCACAAATTTCGCCAAGACTACACTATGGAAAAATATTAATAAAGACAAACAATATTTAGTCTATTCTCAGTTTGACCACAGACATAAAGAAAAAAGTTTGAAAATAAATAAATAGTATGCATGCGTGTGTGCGTCAAATACATGGTAGTGTGTGTAATATTATCTTTATTGATTTGTTGTATCTTTTATGCATTATTTAAAAAAAATATAGCATTGTACACTTCTTCTCTATATTCCCTATAAGTGTGGAAAATTTCATACTCCTCCGTCCGCGAAATTTTCGTAAAAAGGGATACAAAGTTTTGCTTCACGTATTAATATATAGATAACCAATCATTGATATAAAACGAATATATAAATCATTTAACTGCATATAGAGAATGTTTGAGATGCGGGCAACCCTAGCGTGTCGCATTGTTTCTCGGAATCCTTTCTCGCTTGACCACATTGCGCATCGCACAAAGCCCATATTCCCATTGCAACTCGACTGAAAGACGCCATCCCTCAACTACTTTGAACGTTTCCTTACAACTTCACCTCGCATCGCTACAAGCCGTTTTCATCCTTATACACATTGACGACATTTCAATGTTCGAAGATTTATATCCGTGAATCCTCTGGTTACTTGGAAGCGCTTAAAGGTCTGTTTCGCTTGTATGGCCTGCGCACGGCCTGATCCGCGTTCTTAGGCCCGCATCAAGTTTTTTGTTGAAGTATGTCCGCTTAGGTACAGCCCTAGCAATAATAAGGATTTCAAAATTAAACCTCTTTGATTCAAGTTATATCGTGATCTCTTAGAATTCAGAGTTTGTAAAAACTTTATGTTCTAGTTTTTTCTTAGAATTTTGTGTTTGAATATGCTCGTAGCGACTTCTTCGTAAAACGGACTTAGAATTTGATATGTACTTCTTATTTATTATTTACTTTATTACGTCTTACATATACTGTATTCCTTCAAACAATAACATTCCAAGTTTAGGTGATAGTCAAGCTCACACCGTATTGCACACCGTGCTGAGCGATTACTGGAACTAAATTAACATATTATATTGTTCTAGCCCACTTTGAGAAACAATGTTCAATTTACAATTGGATTGGATTGAATCATTTACAACGCGCTTTTCATCTCTTTCAGTTCTGTATATATTTTTCAGTTTTATTTTTCTTTCGAGATTTCTTGATATACACAAACTTCTTTAGTGGAATGGCGCCTTCACGATCTTGTATGATACGAGCTTAGAAGACCTCTCGAGTTTCAGACTGCATTTATAGCTATACTAGTTCGGCCAGTAATCAAAGTTTGATCGTAATTAATGATATCTCAAGATTTTGATTCATATTAGTAAAAAAATTATCATTTAGTAAAAAAAAAAATATTGCTTAGATAGGTGGAGGAGGTCACAGCTCACTTGGTGCTAAGTGGTTAGTGGAGCCCATATACATCTACAACAGGGTAGTACCTACCCGTGCGGACTCACAAGAAGTCCTACCACCAGTAATTACGCAAAGGTTTAATTTTTTTATTACACGATGCTATTCCTTCATCGTGGAAGTCAATCGTGGACATTTGTTAAGTACCTACGTATTTCAATAGAAAAATTGGTACCCGACTGCGGGATTCGAACACCGTTACATCGCTCGATACGAATGCACTGGACGTCTTATCCTTTAGGCCACGATGACTTCTTCTAAATGAAAAAAATATTTATGTAAAACTATATTTAAAAAAAAATGTGCATGTAATGCAATAGGCAGATGCATCACAAATTTAGTATCTACACATAAAATTACCAAACGGACATATCCTGGATAATCTAATATAATTATCGCTATGAAATCAAGGAATTATTGAAAATGTAGTATTTTCAATTATAAAAAGCAAACAAACACAATTTCACATAAACAACTATGCTTCGAATAGCTATACTAAATAAAATAAAATAAACTGTTAAGTAAAATTTTGGCCTAATTTTATTTACAAGAGAAATTAGTCACGCTAGGCCATTCACTAATACATAATAAGCCATCGAAAAAAACACACGATAATTATGCAGAGTTTCATTAAGATAACGCATGGCCCCATGATCATAGCATTTTATGAGAACTTTAAACAAATATACGACCAGCACACCAGAAATTCCGTTAGTGCTTTGCTTTCTACAAATCCACGATCGGTGCGATCCGCTCTGCACGTTTTGTGTGTTCGCTATTCAGGTTTCGGTTTTAGTCACGACGTTTTGTTGATACCACGCGTTATGATAATTGATAATCGTCGACCAAGCCGACCCTACTAGTTGTACCCGCAACTCGCTCTCAACTCATATCTGTGAGGAGCAGTTTATGTAAGCTAAAACGGGCTATGAGTTTAATAAACGATGTCAATATAAAATTAAGGCTTTGTCCTTATGTCGTTGTTTTTTTTTTATTTGCATAGATGGGCGGACGAGCTTACAGCCCACCTGGTCTTAAGTGGTTAAGTGGTTACTGAAGCCCATAGACATCCACAACGTAAATGCGTCACCCACCTTGAGATATAAGTTCTAAGGTCTCAAGTATAGTTACAACGGCTGCCCCACCCTTCAAACTGAAACGCATTACTGCTTCACGGCAGAAATAGGCAGAGTTTTGCGGTAGTAGTTGTTTTTTCATTACCGACTCGCTGGTAGCTTTAGAGGCTATTCCAGTTCTGGCGGACGGGTAGGCGAGCTCACGGGCTCAACCTGAAAGAAATTGCTAACACTAGCCCTAGCAAAAGTAATGCTTCGCTGAATCTAGCACTGGATCGAATTCGCGACTTAAACTATTCTGTAAAAAACTCAATAGGTTCGGCAGAAGTATTTTTCGAGCACCACGTGAATACAGTCGACTTTAGATTCAATTTAACGTAACATGATAGCAGTAATTAAAATGACTTTATACAATTTTTACACAAGGAGCTATCTCTCTCTCTTTTGATGATAACTATTTTTTATTTTTTATTTAATAAGACAGTATTCAATCGTAAATTCAAAGCCATAACAAAGTTACATCTTTGTGATCACGACCCCGTCAGGAACGTACTATTTCAGCGGTCGGACAATAAAAACAGTAATTTAGTAGAACTTCTCCGTGCTAGCTCGCATTATGCTTTATTTCTAATATTTTCGATATGGTCTTCGGGGTCAAGAATTAGGGGGCTATGTTGCAGTTAGGCGAGATTACTACATAGAGAGAGATATTATGATAGAGAAAAGTGCTCGTAAATAACAATATTTTCAGAATAATAGCTACATTACGACTAAGATGACAATAATAGTCTTATTTATTTATCTATACTAATATTATAAAGAGGAAAGATTTGTTTGTTTGTTTGTTATTCGAAAGAATAGGCTCCGAAACTACTGGACCGATTTGAAAAATTCTTTTTCCATTAGAAGCCGACATTGTCCCTGATGAACATAGGCAACTTTTTTTAATTTTTATTTTATTTTATTTTTTTGGTTTCATGTGTGTTTTAATGTTTCCGAAGCGAAGCGAGAGCGGGTCGCTAGTTTAATATATTTTGCACACACAGCTGTGAGAAGAAACACGACAATAAGTACACAGAGTACAAGGGCACTACTTATTTTCATGTTGAGCTCTCTTCCAGTAGGCCCGGAGAAGGAAAAAAGAATTAGGAACACAAACCTAGTGTATACAGTAAACATTATCTATATATTAATACGTGAAGCAAAAACTTTGTATCCCTTTTTGCGAAAATTGCGCGGACGGAGGAGTATGAAATTTTCCACACTTATAGAGAATATCGAGAAGAAGTGCACAATGCTAATATTTTTTTAAAATAATTCCTTAAAGATACATTAAATCAATAAAGAAAACATTACACACACTACATACCATGTATTTGACACACACACGCATGCATAATATTTATTGTCAAACTTTTGTTCTTGACGTCTGTTGTCAAATTGAGAATAGTTTAAATATTGTTTGTCTTTATTCATATTTTTTTATAGTGTAGCCTTAGTGAAATTTGTGATTATAGAAGTATAAAATACAATCATAATAGTGTAAAAACTTACAATTCTAATTAATTATAGTCGAATTTCGACTACTGCGGGACCTCTAGTATATAATAATATCTTGTCTTGTTAATGATTCGATGAAAAGATGCGGGAACACCGGTGCGTTATGGGAAAACTTGAATCAGTTGGGCCGCATTTTACAGATCTGCACGGACAGTTCTACGAGAATACGGTTGTGGTGCAGTACGACAAAGATCTGCTAGAAGTTTGGGACGAAGCCAAGAGACTCCGCTGCGAGTGGTTCAACGACTATGAGAAGACGGCCTCGAAGCCCCCCATGGTTATCGCTGATCTGGAAGTGGTCCAATTGGACTTCAGAGGTAAATTATAATCATTTATGCATGACTCTATCCGTGCATAGAATCTTATTTATTTATTTATGTACACACAAAAAAGAAGACATAGTACAGAGTAATAGGAAAATAATGTACAAAGGCACTACTTATTTCTTTAAGAAATCTCTTCCAGCAGACCTGCGAGGATTATGAGAATAATAATTAAAAGTGATGAGTGTGTGTAGAACAGCTAAAATAACGAATACAACATGAGAATTATAGTAATGCACAGACACATAGCAAATATTTTTAAGCTTGAATACAAAATATTACTCTTCTTTATAATATAATCTTCTTTTTCTTCACCTTATCCCACTAGATGGGGTCGGCACAGCAATTTTTTCTCTTCCATTCTTTTCTACAAGCGGTTAGCTCAACATTCACTCACATATCGTAATTCACACACTCCATCCATGTCTGCTTCGGTCGACCCCTTCCCCCTACCTTGCACTACCTCTACCTCTAACTGTGACTGCATAGCGTGTCAGAGAAAAATGAAATCAGTTTCATGAAACCAAAACGATTTGATATCCAAAAAGCCACAATTTGTGATTTTTTTTCAGGAGACAATGTGGACTGTTGGATGGAGATTCAAGCTGGGAAGGGGCCTTGGGCTCCTCCTGTCTCTGGTATAGTCCCCTTAGGGTCCACTCTCACTCTGGTCGTGGCCATCAACGACTATCGAGGTAAGGAAAATTAAACTTACTGAATTTTCAAAATTGTGACTTGAGTCATGTATCACTAAGCTTTTAAATTACGGAACCTATACTTACAGGAAAGCGTATAATTTAAGCGGACAATAACATGTGCGGTTACATAACTGCAAGAGCATCAAAATCTTATCGCAAAGCCTGTTAATATGTATCCAAGGATTAAGTACTTAAATTAGTATCATAAACTATAATACACACTTAAACAGTCTAGTAGGTCGTAGACGTTATTAAACCAGAGAATTCTGCTTTAAATTAGACGGCAGAAGTACCGTGTTTAGCTTTATGGGCCCCGTAGACACGGTCATATTCCGAGCAATCTAATACGTCAGTCTAATAAAGGTGTATTTATCATTTTGTTTAGGGTTGAAAGAATTTGGCACATGATTTGACCATCCATAAATGGAGGCAAAACTTCACAATGTACATTTTTTTATTTTATTGCTTAGATGGATGGACGAGCTCACAGCCCACCTGTTGTTAAGTGGTTACTGGAACCCATAGACATCTATAACGTAAATGCCGCCCCCATCTCGAGATATCAGTTCTAAGTTTACAACTCAGTATAGTTACAATGGCTGCCCCACTCTTCAAACGGAAACGCTTTACTGCTTCACGGCAGAAATAGGCAGAGTGGTGGTACCTACCCGTGCGGACTCACAAGAGGTCCTGCCACCAGTAATACGTATGTATATGTCGACCACTTACAGCGTGAGCTCGGAGTCTTAATTAGATTGTACAATATATTCAAAGAATGGGTAGCCCGTAGGTGCCACCTATAGTTATTTCCGACGTGAGGCAATCGCATATTCCGGTATTATTATTATTATTACTGAGATTTTTTTTATTCAAATGATAATTTCTTTAATTACTATACAATGTAATATCTGAAATGAGGCATTGACGTCTTTTGTATCCAGGAAATCCGTTAAATACTTAACTCTTCTTTTTAAATCGATAATATACGATTTACTTGTGAATCGATTTTACATCTCATTATAAATTCTATTGTGCGTTCATTCCGTTAGACGTATCACGTCAATAACAAAGTAAAATTCGATTATCGATTTCAATGTAACGAGTTACTTCGCTTTATTCGATGTTGGTATCGATTTTTAATTTTTAATGTACATATTTCACCACTTTCAAATTTAAACGAGGAGGTTTTTGTATTCGCGTTATATTTAATGAATACGTTCAAATAATTGTAAAATCTAAAAAAATTGGCAAGAAGTAGTCAGCGGCTTCGCTCTGCCCCTGGTATTGCTAAAGTCCATGGGCGATGGTAACCACTCACCATCAGGTGGGCCGTGTGATCGTTTGCCTGCAAGGACAATAAAAAAAAACAAAAAAAGAAGCTCCCATCTATCTGGTATTCTGGTCTAGCAGCCACCAAGGTTGACATGAGGTCGAGCTTGAGACAAGCTTACACAGTTACGGCTGCCCAACTCCTTCGAACCGTTGCCTGTAAAAATTTTCAGAATCGTCTCCACGTACAGCCGGTACGAAGCGAACGCGTCCGATCTGAGCGAACGAAAGTTTCAACTATCTTCAGTTTTAACTAAACACAAACGCGTATTAAACTCAAACTCGTCTGAATAATTTCGATGGTCCCACGTTAAAAAAAAAAACAGTAAAAATCATGAACTAGTTCTACGTAATTACACATTTATTACAGTACGTAGAAATAACCTATTGTTTTACGGAAATTACGGAAGGTAGAAGAAACATTTCAGAATCGCCTACATCGTAAATTACAATTAACGTAACTCGTTTGACATTATTTTTTTGTGCTATGTATGCCACATTCTGACTCTACACAAACATAAAGTCAGTTCTAAAAAAGTGTACAATTCACATGCAGTGGAAGTTAAACTTACAAAAGTAAATAAGACTATAAGTATTTTAGTAGCGTAAATATACTATATATTTACGATACTAAATATTATCATCATCATCATCAGCCTATAGCAGTCCACTGACATAGGCCTCTCCAATTGCTCGCCACTGAGCATGATCTTCGGCATCTCTCATCCAGCTCTTGCCAGTCACCCTGGACCGATGGTCGCTCCACGGACCCTGAGAGTATCCTGCACTTCGTTTGCTAATTCGTCAATACTAAAGATACTAGAAATAAATCCCAAATTCCGAAGATGTTTGTGTTTTTGTATCTTTTTAATTTTTTTTCCGATTGTCATATTCGTGCCATACGAGCTTCAAATCCTAATACATGTTAGAGCCCAATCGAGAGCCATGTCCTAAAGTTTCCACTTTTTAATCGTTGTAATATTTTCTATCATAGTTTTCATTCTTGCTACATTGTGTAGTTTAATAAAATTACCATAAACCTGTGCCACAAAACACTGAGTTTCTGGCCGGATCTTCTCAGTGGGTCGCGATTCCGATCCGATGGTAGATTCAGCGAAGCATTGCTCTTGCTAGGGCTGATGTTAGTAAAGTCTCTCAGGCTGAGCTCCTTGAAGCTACTGATAATTAAGTAGGAAATATCAACAAAAAATGTTCTAGAATTTAAAAGGAAAAATAAATTGTAAGGATAACGTCGTGGCCTAAAGGATAAGACGTCCGGTGCATTTGTATGTAGCGATGCACCGATGTTCGAATCTCGCAGGCGGGTACAAATTTTTGTAATGAAATACGTACTCAACAAATGTTCACGATTGACTTCCACGGTGAAGGAATAACATCGTGTAATAAAAATCAAACCCACAAAATTATAATTTGCGTAATTACTGGTGGTAGGACCACTTGTGAGTCCGCGCGGATAGGTACCACCGCCCTGCCTATTTCTGCCGTGAAGCAGTAATGCGTTTCGGTTTGAAGGGTGGGACAGCCGTTGTAACTATACTGAGACTTTAGAACTTGTATCTCAAGGTGGGTGGCGCGTCTATGTTGTAGATGTCTATGGGCTCCAGTAACCACTTAAAACCAGGTGGGCTGTGAGCTCGTCCATCCATCTAAGCAATAAAAAAAAAAAAAAAAGCTTTAAGAGCTAGGATTACTTGAAAAGAAAGTACAAACAGAAAACGTTTTTATTATTATTCTATGTCATTGAATATTAGATATTCATTTATTAATAAACACAATAGATACGTGAATAGTATAAATATAAAAATACACAGCTAGACATACAAACATTCACATTGTTTACTAAGCATTAACATTGCTCAGGCTTGTTCGATTTCGAAAGGTCCTAAATGTGCAGAAACGCCTTGCGGTGGCTGCGGTTACTAAGTAATTTAAATTAATAACCACTTTAAGTACCCGCAGCGTAACTTAAATAGTTAAGAAACGCTAGAACGTTATTCGTGACGTCTTGAATGTGTTGCGTTATTTTAATATCGCGTTCTGTGTAATGATAACCATTACTTAAACTCAAGTGGTTACCAATTCGCCTTCGCCGCAATACTCATGTCCTTTCATTACTATACTGTATTCTCTTTAACCCCCATACCCCTATATATCTCAAAGAACGTTTCGAGTTCCTACGTGATACGCATAATTTTTCTCTGAGATCATCGGATAGCCTGAGACTGAAAATGCCGGTGCATTCATCATCATTCTTTGACAATTCATTCACCGTCCAGGCGTACACTGTTTTTTTGAATGTAAACTGTGTTAGTATGCAATAAAGTGTATTCTCTCTCTCTCTCTCTCTCTCTCTCTCTCTCTCTCTCTCTCTCTCTCTCACTTTACTGATAAATACCCCTTGCGCTTTCTCGAGTTCTAAATATGTAATTTATGAAACACGCTGCATGGACGGCACAGGATAAAGAGCTGCTTGTAGCACTCTCAGGTCTATAACCTACAAGTTTATTTGTAGATCTTTTTGTACGTAAAAATCAAGAAGTACATTTTGAATATATTATCCGTCATTGCCCAGGCTTACAATGATTAAAATTGTGGCATTGGATTAGAATACGTCATCAATTCTCTGCACTGATTTCATCATTTATACCACGACTTCTTCAAACCATATTTTATCAATCCGACTACAAATTTGCCAAGATGAATCGAAAAAAATAATTGTAAATAGCTGTTTTGAAAGAATGGTGAAGGAACACTACTTATCTGCTTAGTGCTGTTTGTTGCATCATTATCATTTATCATTTCCATACTGTTGATTTGTTATGTGTGTGTAAGTATATTAGTATGTATTGTATGTAAGTATGTATATTGGTATATATTATATATTATGCATATATTTTCTATAATAATGTATTGTCTATGGTACACCGCAACGTACCTGCTATATTTTAATATTTTACAGAATTTCTGTAAATTAAACGGTTGTCTGGAAGAGATCGCTTTTAGCGATAAGACCGCCTATTGTACAAATTTATGTGCTTTTTGACTGTTTTTTTGAATGTAAATTGTGTTGGTGTGCAATAAAGTGTATTCTCTTTCTCTCTCTCTCTCTCTCTCTCTCTCTCTCTCTATAAATAAATATTTTTAATTGTACCACGGTTTTGATGATTTAACGCATCAGACAGGTTGTTAATAGAACGTTAAATAGAAACAAATATTTATGAATTATTGACCAATAAGACTGAATATAATAAATCATTAAAAATACTTAATAAAATTTTGGAATCCCGTACAAAAACAAAATTATTTTTTACGATTTATAATCATGATCTGCGTAAAGAAACCGACGTTGCCGGAACATTCGTCACCGTTATTATAAAAGTATAGATGGGACCCGATTTTTTTAATCAACACCACGTGGGCGTCAGCTTTCTACTCCGCTGTGAATGTACGTACTACGTATCACTCGGAATACAGAAATTTATTGGAACGTGAAAAAGTATTGCTTATGGTTTTCCATAGTTTCGTCGTAAGATGTGCAATAAACTATTTTAGCGGCTAAATCATAAATTTGCTTGTTTAGTGGGTATTGTTTGACTCCTCTTGGCTCGTTAATATTAATTCCGCGACCAGCCTCACATTCCAGTTTG